GTTGTTGTAGCAGGGTTGTTTGCTAAATGTTCACCAAAAAATCGCTAAGTTACCATAATCCAAAGTTTAACCAAATCATTTTATTCTGATTAGAAGTGTAATTTATTAATATTCTAATTCATTTATATTCTTAATTAACTTATATTCTATAATTAAAAATTTTAAATTAATTTATTTACAGATTAATTATATGCAAAATAGACATGAGATAATGTGAGCCATAAGTACAGCAAACGAGCACATTCCGCAATTTTCTTGTATAAAAATAAAATTGTTTTATTCTAATTACACATGTAATTAAAATTTATTTAGAAAATAATTAAACAGCAAATTAAAAATGTCTGCGGAAAAAGTTATGTGCTCATCAGCACAAAGATTTATCCGCGAAGTCAGAAGTCACGGCACGCAAAGCTACATATAGAAAGAAAATATGCCTTTTCTCTATTAGTTAACATCAAACTAAACACTCTACCCACTGTCTGGCGCCTAACGCCCAAGTTGGTGAATACGATTTCACAAATCTTGCCAAGTGCCAGTTATCTGAGTATCCCCAAAATTTCTATAAGTCATCACTCACCACTAGCATGCATATTGATTTTAGATACAAAAAAATTAATACAATTGAACCTTTGGGATATACTCATTCTCCCAGTTAATCAAAAAAAAAATTATGTACTATAAATGAGATATTTCTTAAATCAGAGTTCAAGACCCCCCCCCAAAAAAGAGAAGATATAATTTATTTATACATTATTTTTATTTTGTTTCACAGCAGGTGCTGATACAAATTTGAATACAAATAATCAGTAAAATAATTAAATATACAAAGGGATGTTAGATTAATCAAACAATGAGATTAGTCTGAAACAATGCAAGTACAAAAAAGGTAAACTGAAAACTTTAGATAATGGTCCATCATCTTCAAGATACAGCATTAAGAATTCCAAAAGTAAAAGCATTTTTGGCTGATCTTTGGAATATGGTAACTGGTATTAATTCAGAAGTCAAACAACAAAAATCAGCGTTAATTTACAAAATTTTCACAGGACTAGTTTCGATGGTTTTACCGAACCATCATCTTCAGCTGCAAAACCGCAAAATGATTGTATTTGCGGTTTGCAGCTGAAGATGATGGTTCGGTAAAACCATCGAAACTAGTCCTGTGAAAATTTGTAAATTAACGCTGATTTTTGTTGTTTGACTTCTGAATTAGTATTTATTCGGCGTGTTATTGTGTCTTAATGGTAACTGGTAGTTTGGCGACATTTTGGAGGCGATAAAGGTTACTACCTAGGACTTTGGTAATAATGTGAGAAGTACTCAGTTCCGATTATGCATTATTTCGTGTGAGGGAAATGAGAGATCATGAGATATGTCATGTGACATTAATGGACGAATTACAGTTCTTTAATCGGAAAAGGAGGGGGATTTGGAAAACTGTAGTACTATATTATTTTGTATTAAGCTTCATTGTGTTTTGAGTGAAATAGTGGAAGTGCGCATGCCCCGTAATGAAGATTCTGAAGATTAGGTAAGTTAGTATTTTTAATCATTTGAGGATATTATTTTTATGCATTGTTCTAAATGTAAGGAGTAATTAATATGGTATTATTCGAAAATTGTTATTAGCAATGATTTAGTTTAAAGTAATTAGGATTGTAATCTAATTTATTAATTAATGTATGTGCTTATTTATATTTTAAGTAAAGTTTTTTAATTTAATGATTGTGATTGTGAGTTATATGTTTGTAATATTTGGAATACGTTGAGTAGAATACGTTGAGTATTTTCATGCATTTTCGTGAAATTTTCTAATTATGAGAAAAAAGCAGTATACATGGATATAGTGAAGAGTGCGCACAAGCCATTTTTGTGCAATTCTGGATATTTTTAAGTAAAAAAAGTCGACGTGTACATGGTTTAGTGATATTTTAATTAAATGATAGTTATTTGTGAATTTTATGTTTTGTAGAATTTGGTTACGTTTCAGTTGAAGTAAACGTGCATGGAATTAATTTAAATATTTGACACTAAGTATTGTAACCATTTGTAATGTTTGCGGTATGAATTCGTTGATGACGTTTATAATATAATAGATAATTTAGAGGTAAAAGTTTTTGGATATTTTATTTATTTTATACGTGGAAATGTTCAGCTTTGGAAAAGGTATATACTTTTTGCGATCAGGTAATTTTATATATGTTCTTTTTACCGGATTTAAAGATTCACAAAATTTTCATGCATTTTCGTGAAATTTTTCTAATTTATGAGAAAAAAGCAGTGTACATGGATATAGTGAAGAGTGTGCGGCAATGCCATTTTGGGCAATTCTGGGATTTTTTTTAAGTAAAAATAAGTCGACGTGTACATGGTTTAGTGATATTTTAATTAAATGATAGTTATTTGTGAATTTTATGATTGTAGGAATTGGTATACGTTTCAGTTGAAGTAAACATGTATGGAAATAATTTAAATATTTGACACTAAGTATTTGTAACCATTTGTAATGTTGCGGTATGAATTCGTTGGTGACATTTATAATATGATAGATAATTTAAAGGTAAAAGTTTTTGGATATTTTATTTATTTTATACGTGGAAATGTTCATGCTTGGAAAGAGTATATACTTTTTTGCGATCAGGTAATTTCATATATGTGCTTTTTACCAAGTTTAAAGATTCACAGAAATTTTTTTTTTTGCAATTTTTGTAATTTATGAGAAAATAGCAGTGTAGATGGATAACGTTTAAGAGTGTGTGCAATGCCATTTTTGTGTGCAATTCTGGGATTTTTTTTAAGTAAAAATAAGTCGACGTGTAAATGGTTTATGTGTATGTGCTATTCTGAAAAACGCGCAAGGAGTTTGCGATTGTGCACTTTTTCCCAATTTTGCAGTTAATATTTGTCATGATTAAGCAGTTTTGTTACATAAAATTTCTAGCATAAGTGTAATCGGCTAGTAGATTGTTGGAAAAAGTGTTCAGTAAATAAAAAGAAAAGAAACATGTCTTTACTTCGTGAAGACAAAATGGCGGCGAAAAAAAAAATACAGGGCTGCTGTAGCAGAGTTGGTCGCCAAATTTTCACCAAAAAATCGCCAAGTTACCATAATCCAAAGATCAACCGAATTTTTCTTTAAACATAAAACTTATAAGATTGAAAAGAAATAGTGATCTGATCTGTATACGTTAATTTGTTTCATACCTGAAATAATTTTAAACTAATTAGTTACTACAGGCTGCTAATCGTAAGGAAAAATATTCGGTACTTACGTATTAACGTAACCAGGCCGAAATTCGCATAAATTGCCAAATTTGGCGACCCTACTTATGAAAACACTACGTGTTATACGTAGTTTTGTAAAAAGAGCACGTGGAGATTCACAAAATTTTCCTGCATTTTCATGCACATTTTTGTAATTTATGAGAAAATAGCAGTGCACGTGGATAAAGTCAAGAGTGTGCGCAATGCCATTTTTGTGTAATTCTGGGATGTTTTTTTAAGTAAAAATAAGTCAACGTGTACTGGTTATGGCAAATACGGTTTTTTAATCAGTGCTAAAAGCAATAACCAAAAGATTTTCCCGAAAAATAATTCTGCAACTTATTCAATCGAAACTGGAAGGTAATGCTGTTTATATTTAAAACAAATAATATAAAAAACGTATTAAAAATTATCTGTAATAATAAATGTACATTTTCTTCTATTCATACTTTTTTACTCAAACTACAAATAGCGCCAACTGGTTGCGAATACGTAGTACTAAATATCAGTATATACATAATTTTTACTCTTGCACTAATCTTGAATATGGTAAAGGTAGTTTGGCGACATTTGGTAAGGCGATAAAGGGTACTAGCTAGGATTTTAGCAGAGTAGGATAAAGTCAAGAGTGGCGCAATGCCATTTGTGCAATTCTGGGATTTTTTTTTTAAGTGGAAATAGGTCGACGTGTACATGGATGATACCATGTATGTGCAATTCTTAAAAATGCGGCAAGCAGTGGGCGATTCTGTGTTTTCTCCCAATTTTTCACCTAATATTCGTCATGATTAAGCTCTTTAGTTCCATAAAAGTTCTAGCATAAGCGTAATTCAGCTAGCAGATTGTTGGAAAAAAATGTTGAGGGAAAAAAAAAAAGCCTTTACTTCATGAAAACAAAATGGCGTCCAAACAAAAACTAGCAGGGTTGGTCGCCAAATTTTCGCCAAGTTACCATAAGTGAAAATAGGTCGATGTGTACATGGATACCGTGTATGTGAAAATCTTAAAAACGCGGCAAGCACTTTGCGATTCTGCACTTTGTCCCAATTTCGCACCTAATCTTCGTCATGATTAAGCACTTTTGTTCCATAAAAGTTCTAGCATAAGCATAATTCGGCTAGCAGATTTTTCGAAAAAAAAAGCCTTTACTTCGTGAAAACAAAATGGCGTCCAAACAAAAACTAGCAGGTTGCTGTAGCAGGGTTGGTCGTCAAATTTTCGCCAAAAAATTGCCAAGTTACCATAATCCAAAGATTAACCAAATCTTGTATTTACAATGAGTAGTTCAAAATAATTAAGTAAAAAAAAAAAAGAGAAACTGCTATTCCAAAATTATTTCACTGTACACTATGGTTTCATCCCTAATCAAGACATATAGTTATGCATTTATTTCATCTAATCTCTAGCTCATGAGGGTTGCAGCAAATATTTCACTCAAGCGGCAATATTTTCAGTTTTTTCCAGATTCACAATCAGCAAGACGAAAACAATACACATCTAAAATAAAGCATCTTCAAGATCTTTAATTAGCATATTATTGTAAGTAAAATGCGCAGTACCCAGGCATGTTCTGAAGTTTCATTAAGGGCATACTTTTCAGCAACATAATTTACTACTTTTTATATAAGCATACAGGAGCCGCATGCATATCCTCTTATTTAGTAACAATCTAGACGTTCTGAAAGGCTACATAAATTCGTTTGATTGTGATCAGGTATGATATAAATGTTACTTACCTTTGGAGCTCTAAATCTGCTCGGATTTTTTATTCCCAACTTTTTATTTTTTTCTCTTACAGTGGTACAACCACTCTTGCAAAAAGGGACGAAACATCTGGTATCACAACTCTTACTCATAGCGAAAATTTATATCGAATCAATATTTCCAATGTTATTACAGACAGACAGACAAAGTACACAGATGTCTTGTTTTGCATCCGCTAAGTCTTTTTGCCAGATGGGCGAAAAATCAAGCATAGGTGCGAAGAAAAGGTATATAGAAAGAGGGGCAATTTCGTATTTGAGGAGAGTAAAAAGGGAACTTCCTACATCTTGTACGAGCTCAAAAGGGCAGGAAGAAAACATGGGACAAAATAAAATTTAAAATAAATGGCCCAAAATAATAGAGGGGGGAAAGGGCCTATAGAAGAAAAAGGAAAAAGAAGTAGAAATCCTAAAATACGTTTGTGTCATGAGGTAGTTAAAAAGAGAAAAAACTGTCTTCATTTACAATAAATAGTGTCTCACAGGTGTGTGTGTGTAGTGAGTGTGTTTGGTAATGGTGAATAGATGTCTTACTGGGGATAAAAAATATGACGGTGTAAAATGCTTCGTATCAAGCTATTAACATGGAATATAAAAGGAATGTATGCTTGCATCCTGAGATATCAACAAAAGTCATCAAACAAAAGTATATATTAATTTAACCAAAGTAATTTATGCTACTTAATTCTCAAATTTTCATACATTTTCAAAAAACAGCAGCGACTAACAACATAGAACCATATACAATACAAGACCACAACCGCACACCCAAAACTATATATATATATATTGTGTGGGTGTGTGTATGTAAATTATGAGAATATGTATTAAAAACACAAATTTAAACAGTATTTATTAATTACTATAGTTATACAAGATTAATTATTACATCATAATTTATTACAAGTTAATTAATGTAGTATTAACACAATGAGGCACACTGTTATTTATATAAGCTCATAGTTTAAGAATTCATTTAAGGCGGTTGAAGAATCAACCATCCCTTACATAGGACATTAACAGACAGCAAAGAACAGTATGAGAAAAAATGGTGAGGGTATAAATTTATTTAAAGGCAAAACATTTCAAGCGATCTAAAAAGAAAGAGAATCCAGAAGATCCGACAAGGAATAGCAGGGTAAATAGAAGGGCTAGCTCATTCTTTGTTCGAATCTTCGCCGACGCGAGCTAATGGGGACGTAACAGGCAATATCTGACGTCACTGTGATGCCACCTGTCCTGATTTCCCGCGTTTAAAACAGTAGTTTCATTGAGCTGCGAGACGATTTTCTAGAGGTTACATATCCCAAATTAATTTAATAAGATATATATATCTGTTTTCTAATAATGTATATATTTAAAATAATTTATATATATGTAATTTTAGTCAGTTTTTATTTTAAATTCTATATTGTAAAGTATCGTTTACGTAATATGTCTTTTGCGCTACAGTAACGTGCCGTAGCACTTACAGAAGTATGAAAGGATGAGATATTTTATTTCATGGAACCAAAGGATCCAAATGAGAGTTTGCTTTTGACGAAAGAATGAATGGATACACAAATGTCAAAGAGAAGATTTATTAATGTGGAAGAGCGGAAAAATCTGCAGCGAACATTTTCTATGCATTGTTTATGAAGATGATATGAAAAATCGCTTGTTTGGATAGCCACAAAAAGAAACTGTTGAAATGGAATGCTGTGCCGAAAGTAAATTATGATGACAATAATAAATCGAAATTGATGATGACAATAATAAATCAAAATTTTAATGATTTTGAAATAAAACTCACAAATGAAAATGTAGATCATCCTGAATGTTTAAGGATAAACAAGAATGCATTGATAATTTGAAGAACAAAATAATATCCTTAGAAAATTGTATTAAAGTATTGAAAAATAGAGAAAAGAAAAATTTTAGAATGTTTGTTCAGCGACAAAGAAGGTGGACGACATCTAGACAGAAATTGGTATCAGAAATTAAAATCTCAAATAGCGAAATTTGGGGGGGGGGAGCACAAATCGGAGAATTTGGAAAAATGTCTAAAGCCTTTTTTTTATAAAGACGCAGATTAATGCATTACTGAAAAAGAAGAAAAAAAATCAGGTGGACTAGTGAAAATATTTCACGTTGCATTGTCATAAGAGCTCTGTCATCTTAAAGCTATGATTTTTGGAAAGAAAAAAAATTACGAAAAAAAATTGGAATATCTTTACCTAGTATTAGCAAAATTAAAGAAATGGTGTTTATTTTATTTTTTAGTGTTTTCTAAATTTTAGTGTAGTCCAAGAATTCAAAACGTAATGTTCTTACTCGAAAGAAGGAAAGAGGCGAATAATTTGTATTCTGTAGAAAAAATATGCGTTCTCAGTTTCGACGAAATGCATATAGATTGAAAACTCTGCTATGACTCTAAAACTGGACTAATTGGTTCTTTTCAAAATGTGCAGTTTGTTTTAATCAGAGGTCTCATTTCGCGCTCTGCCTCAAATTACTGAAAAACCGCGTTTTAGATAGAGGATTTGTTTTAGAAGATGTAACTGTTTTAAATTTTGATATTATTAAAGAGGTTTTAAATAGAGATTGAGAAGAAATCAAATTGTGTCACAAACTAAAAACCAAATTATTTAATGGTTCAGGGAAACGAGAGACAAAATGTCGCCTCCAGAGAAAAACATTATTTTCAAAAAGTACCGCAAAAAAGGTATACTCTACCCCACAGGAATTCAGAAAGCATCTGACTTCTATGAGTTAATCGATAATATCTTCGGTATTATGAATAGTACCAAAAATAGTACCAACAAGAATAACAAGTATTTAACAAACTAATTTGTTAAGTACTTGTTAAAGTTATTCTTATTGTATCCTTTGTAACTAATTATTGATTAGATTTTGTGCTAGATTAGCATTCTAGATAAAATAATAATAGTATAAAACATCAAAGTAATTGGCATAAAAAAAGACCTGCTTCCTTTACTCACACTTTTGAAAAATTAAATAACTGTTTAGGTACTCTGAATAAAGCTATTTTGTCAAAATTAAGGTAACAATTTATATACATTATTTAATTGTAATATAGATATAAGTATAAATTACAAAATTATTAAAAAAATATCTATTATATTGAATCGGAAGAGAATTATAACAATGTAAAATTTACAATTAGGCATAAAATCAAACGTAGGTTAGCAGAAATGTTGCCATATATGTCATATATGTTTAAACCTATGTCAATGTAAAGTTGTTTTTTGAGTAAATTTAAATAGCTGCTATTATAGTTATCTTAGAAGCAGTATAAAAATTCTCTCAGTTAATCATGCAAATAAAGAAATAATTAGAAATAAACGTGCATTAAATAATAAAACATGCAAATAAAAATAAAAAAAACCACGGAACATTATGTTAAAAGAGTAGCACATTTTATCTATTATTTTAAAATTGAGTAGGCCATTATTAATTTTTAATGGTTCAATCTAAAATGCATAAAGCAGTACATTGCCTCTTCCAAATTATAGCTATCTTTCACACACAGCTCATTTTAAAACGCTGGTTCAAAAACGTAATTTCCAAGCTGTGAATTATATTGCGCGCTCAGTGTCATCATGGCTACGTCATCACTTCTCACTTTTGCTTTAGGGAAAAAAGCTCTATGACCTATCTTTCTCTTGAGGTATAATATTATTAAAGGCGATCTAGGATTCAAGCGATCTAAAAGAAAAGAGAATCCAGAAATCCGACAGGGAAATAGCGCATGCCCAATTTCCCTCTCATCCCATTTGCTTCTCACGAGATTCCTTAGGCTTTGAAGGTGACAGACGTGAATGATAACGTTGGCGTTTTTGAGTTGATACACAAGGAGCCACAAGCAAGAGCATTTCAAGTATTTAATGCTTTAAACTGATGAAAATTAAGATTTATGATTTTAAAGGCACATTATAGAATTGATTAGTTTAGATGAAAGAAAAGTACTATCTAAAATTCCAGGCTTTGGAGTATATCGTTACTTCCGCTGTTTTTTCTCGTCAACATCGGACGAATTTTGAAATGATATAGGTGGGTAGAAAAAACATTATTTCAAAGTAATTGATAATCACCAAGAGGAAAGGAAATTTTTTCACTTTTTTACGGAGCGCAGCGATCGTGCTGCCGCTTGGCTTGGTGATCGCAGCCCCCTCCACAACGTCACTTCTCACTTACAAAAATGGTCACGGATACGGGTTAATGGATACCATCCATCCTACCTGACACACACAAATCAAAATGCCAGCTGTCATCTGTCAAATTGAAAGTAAATATTTCTTCAGTAATTGGCAAATTAAAAGCAACATTTTATTATTAGCTAAGAAGCAGTCATCTTAAAGAGCATTATAATTAATAAAACCAATTTTAGAAATTTGTCACTTTCCTAGGTAATGACCTTAATGATGTGGTACCCTATCACTAATTTAAATTCTAATTTACCATTGATCAACTATTGTAATTTGACAATATAATATGAAAGTAAGATCTTTAAGGCGGTTTGTTGACAAATGTCTGCCTATTCGTTCAACATAAGC